TCAGGATATTTTTTTGCATCCGTCATTCCTTTTTAGAACATGCCTTGCAAAGCATTTGATTTTATATATTCTTCACTAAAATACCATTATTGTGTTCTCCCTGTTAATGTTTGGTTTATACTGAACTAAACAAAGGTTTACATAATCCTATTGCAACGGAAATAGAAAGCAAGTTTTCAAATGGAAATCTTTTATACGGATTGCATTGCATGATATCTCTGTTTCATAACTTTTGTAAATAATTGATATATTATTTTCGTGTGGTTATAGCTAGATGTTATTGGTGCAGTGGACTGTGTTACACGTAAATCTCGAGAACACAACAGACCTGAAACGTATCCATACTACGATATAATCATTATGGTCCGGCGCAGTGTGTTTATAGTGTATACACACCTAGCCCTCAGCTCTAACTGATCGTTGCTAAACAAAACACCGCTTCTACGATAAAAATTGAATGCTATAGACAGGCACACTGCACACCTATAACCAGTCAACTGTTAGGAATTATTTCAAACCGGGCCGACATAAAACATAAAAATGAAATATTGTAGGGTGATAATAACATCATTTCCCCACATTACAGCTTTAAGAATTCATAGAAATGTCAACTGCTGAACTTGCTCATTAACGGCTTTGTTTAGAGTTCGATTGAACTCCTTGGACCTTTGTTTTCTTTAAAACACAACATATATAATGTTACCAAAATATAGATTACTATATATTTATTAAAAACCACCTCAAATGCTTTACCTGTTTATTTTTTATCGCAGCCATTTTTTACCATGGTATAACTTATCTTAGTGTAAATTTTAGAGGTTTTAGTTGTGCCCTGCCCTCACACAACTCTAATTAATAACTCCTTTTTACCATGGTATAACTTATCTTAGTGTAAATTTTAGAGGTTTTAGTTGTGCCCTGCCCTCACACAACTCTAATTAACAACTCCTTTGATCGAAAAAATCTTTTTAATGGAATGAAGAAATTTCTTCTACTATAAAATATTTAATCTGTTTATAATTGTTTATCACAGACATTGTTAACGATGTGCAAATGATAAAAAAAAAAATTAAACTTCCTAAATCTTGGAGATTTAAGTCGCGTCCTTACACAACTTTAATTAAGCTATAACTACTTTCATCAAAAAAAGTTACAAAAAAAATTGAAGATAAATCTTCTACGTCAAAACAAAGTCATTTTTGTTTGTTTCCCCGCTTACGATATCAGTAAACTTTCTAGATCCAAGGTGTTCCTACTTAAATCGAAAATAAACTTGGCGAAGGTAGAATCTTTCAATGAAAAGAAATCACATAAAGAGTTATTGACATGGTGTCTTTTCAACTTTTAATCTTCATTAGAATTATTTACTGCGCATAGATTTTCATTGGAGACCCCGAGCTTTTGATCGGTGACCTAGATATTTTTGTTGGAGACCAACAGATTTTCGTCGGAGACGCAAGATTTTGATTGGAAACCCCCAAAATGTATCGTGAAATCTTCATAATTGTTGAAGACCCCCATGGGATTTCCAATAAAAAGCTTGTGGCCTCCTATACAAATATAGGAGTCTAATCTGAAAAATGGGGGTGTCCGATGGGATGCAATGGGGTGGAGGTTTTCTATGCAAAGGGGGGTCTCTGTTATAGTTCTTAGGTAGACAAATTTAGACAAAGGGTTAAAGGTGTGAATCTGACATGAAAATATATTAATAGAGGATCACGTTGAATTACATTCACAGTCCACGCCACTCACCTGTAAACTGTGACATATAAAACTCCATGATATTATTTCTATCTTGTAAAGAGTTCCTCCCTTTATTTAGTAATCAGTCTCTCTCTGTATCTCTTTTCTCCTCTCTAATTATACTTAGTGTGGTGTAATCCCCGCTGAGTTTCGGAGCTTGTCAGTCTCCGGTATTAAATATTTTAATGATTCTGATTTTAAAGAGTTAAACATTTTTTTGAAAATCGGCTAAAACATCTAATGTTTAAGACAAAATTGACCTCGCTTCAAACTACAGGGTGTCCCAAAAAAAGTTCTAGGTACTAGATCTTTTATCACAGTTCGATTTTTAAATTCAAGCCAAAATGGCAAACTTCAAACTGAATTGACTTCCTCAATTTTAGTGCTACAAACCTCTAATTTTATAATTTTCTATTATTCGAATATGTTACAGAGATATCGAAAATTTCCTAAAATTTTAAAATCTAACTATCGTGAGAGCTCCAGCAGCTAAAAGATCGCTTTTTGGACATCCTCTATAATATTTGCATTCTGGCAATAAAATCTATTAGGATTTTGTCAATTACTCCTTCAACAGCAAACAATCTAATTGATGCTTACATATTTTCATCCAGACCAACACAAACCTGAAAGGGCTTGAGAAAGACTGGTCAAAGACTGAAGCCTGCAGTGCACGCACTTGCAAGTTGGCTAGTAAGAGGCCGAATTTAAAGAATTTGAGCGGCGGCTTAAATTTAAGCCGCGGCTTAAATATTGTTGGTTCCAATTAAAATTGTATAAAATGTTTCAAGATGTATTCCGGTGCGTAATTTAAACCGGGTTTTGGTGGATTTAAGCCGCGACTCAAATTCTTTAAATTCGGCCTCTGATCAGTTTGTGATTAATGTTCAGAACTGTATAGATTGATCTTGTATGTATTGTAATTGTATGAAAGAATAAAAAGGTCACAGATCATATGCCAAAATCAAACTTGATTTGCGCTGAATTCCAGTATAATTTTTATTCATTGAGTTAGGATAAAAGGTGTTATACTATATTCCTGATACTTGAAGGTCGTCTTTGAACTATGAATTTATTTGTGACATTTATTCGTCAACCTACTTTAACATGAATGATTCTTGATTTTAATTTTGGTAAATAAAGCCAAAATTGTCGAAATCTGAACGAAATTCTTCATATCCTGGCATTCTTGGGAAATATTGAAAGAACAAAAAAGACAAACCACGTCTGGAAATGCCAGGACTTGTGCAATTTTGTGATTATAATTTTTAGAATTTGGCTTCAAAATTAGGTTGACAAATAAATGCAGAAAGTTATTTAAAAAATTAAAGACGACCCTTTATGTTTATAAAAAATTTATTGTGAATATTTAATTAAATAGATAAGTTTTGTAAGTTTTTTTCAGTCGTTCAAAAAAATTGAAATCCTAGTTTTCAGAATTATCGTTTATTTACCATCGTTTTTGTTCTTTTTCTAACTAAACAACTCATAAGCTGAAATGAGGGGGTTCAAAAGAGCAAATGCTGCAAAGGGAAACCCCCTTGGGACAGGATTACTCAAAAAGAATTTGACTTCAGAGACGACTGTATTCAGAGACGACTGTATTCAGAGACGACTGTATTCAGAGACGACTGTATTCAGAGACGACTGTATTCAGAGACGACTGTATTCAGAGACGACTGTATTCAGAGACGACTGTATTCAGAGACGACTGTATTCAGAGACGACTGTATAATTCAGAACTTATTCAGTCTTTTTTATCTCGCAATCATAGTTTCCTGCAGATGCATAACTGATTTTTTCTTTGCCTCAGGATTTAGTATACTACGTATTAAAAGCCAATATTTAAACCGAAGTTTAATCTTTATATCATAATATTTATTGAGCTTCATGTCGTAATTAATGCTTCATCATATTCAGTAATTAAAATTTTATCAACTAGCGAGAACAAGTTGAACCTGGTTTACATACTTAAACACTTCTTTTCAATCAAGCTATTTCAAGAGCAATTCAGCCTGGCTCGGTATTTAGAAAAAAATATACAGTAACGATCATAAAGACCCGGAAATAATTTAGAATTGATCAGATATGACAAATATGATTAATGAAACAAAAATAACATAATAGTCCTGCCAATTCTAAAATGTGGTTATTGTGCGTTTAAAACTACCAGAGAGAGATATATAAATATAAAGTCGTCTCATTATCTGTCAATTAATTCCGGGTCTTTCTGGTTATGGCTGTACTACTTAGTTTTAAAAAAGCAATTTTCTGTATTAATTCATTCATTTATGTATTTCAGCCTTTTAAAGGGAGAAACCGGCAATGTATGGTAGTTGAACTGAGAATGTAGTACTGTGGAGAAATTTTTTAGGATTCATTTGAGACATACAAAACGTTTAAATTATTTATAATCATTGAGTTTGAGCGCAAAGTCGACGTTTAAAATCATCCATTTGGGAAGTTACGTTTTGAGAATCGATTTTTTTAAAACTAGTAAATAACGACGACAAAAAATTTAAACAAAATTCTACTGTAAACTAATTAGGAGTTTACGAACAGATTCATCAATTGAAATTTCTCAATAAATCAATGTTAGAATCAATTATTTCTTTTTTATCATCATATTGAATTTCTTATTCTTTATCCATTTTTTCGCAGAGTTCTTGAAATTCTTCAAATGTCGTTTTTTCTATAAAAATGCCAGGAAATCTACAGAAAATGTTTGTGAACAATGAGACATTACAAAAACTAATATAAGATTACTTATTTTCGATGATAATAGTTGATTTTTATTTTTTTCAACCTGTTCCAAAACAATTAATTTGTTTACTCTAGATTTTTAACTACATTTTTCGTATTCGTTATTGTATACTTTTTTAAAACCCGATTCTCAAAATTATCCCTCAAAAATTAACAATCCAGGAGGATTTTAAAAATTGAATTTGCGCTCTTGCTGAACAAATAAGCACTGTAAAAACATGTCATAGGTATCAAATGATTCCTAAAAATGTCTCCACAATACTACATTCCCATTTCAACTACCATACATTGCCGGTCACTCCCTTTAATCTAATCTGGTAAAGGACAACGCCGAGGTTTTAAGGTAAAAAATGCATCGTATTTTAATTTGTGCCCTCGCCTTACTAAAATCCTAGCTACGGGCCATGCCACAACATTTTCGTTCTTACTTTTTTAAATGGTAAATTTTTACGCAAAAAATTATAACTCAATGTGAGGTGTAGCTACGGAACTTGGTGTGATGAAGTGGAAGTGGGTGGTGGGAATCCAGAGTTGGAGTTAGAGCACGTGAGGTCGGGGTATGGAAGTTAAAGAGGTGTGGTGAATTAAGGTAAATGAATGTTAAGGGAAGAAGGCAGATTTAGTTGAGTGATACTGTTAGGGTTCAGGATAGTTTTCACTTCCAGTCAAAGCTGGAAACTGACGCTAGTTAACTTAAAACATCCCTGAAAAAAAATCGTAGATTTTCCTGTTTTCTGTTGTTGGAATTCTTAGAGATAACAGAAAAGATTAAATTTGAAATCACATCTTGGATTTAAATTATGGAATACAGATTAATTTAAGGCCTAATTTTAAAATAGAATAGAAATCAATATTTTTTTATCTTAAGAAAAATGACAACTAAGTTTTACCTGGAAAATGGAGAAATGGAACTCATTCCAGTCAACATGTCAAAAATGTAAGAATATGTTCCTAACCTTTTCTATTTTCATGATATAGAAAAACTAGGACTAAAATAGATAAAATCTATTATTATTTTTTATCATAATATGACCATTGTGACATTATGTTAAACAGAGGTTGGGTTGAACCTTCCACGGAGGAGTTTTGGATATCATTGACAATCTTAATCCTCATCCTGGCAGCCAATATACCAATGCTCTTGTCTACTTGGCAAAATGGTTTAACATTCCTTGACAATATTCTGGTCCTTGACTGCATCAACAGGTTAAGCGTTATAAAATATTATCTTACTTCGGAGCAAATATAAACAATATAGAATTATAGATTATTTAGATTTAATAATGTGATTCGTTGGAAAAACTTTTTAAATCTTTCAACTTAACTTTTTCATTCATCAAAGTATCCCATTGACTAATGGTATTTGAGGGTAAAGATTTTGATACGTTTTTACGTTTTCACTAATTTAGTTTGTTTCACGGCTATCTGATGTTAACCTTCATGACCAGGACATCAACAAATCCCGTTTACTGTGCCATTCATGTTGGTATTGTTAGTATAATTAACAATCTGGACAGGTGAGCTGTTTAAATTATGAAAAATTATTAGGGTTTCCAACAAAATTTTCGTTGAACAAAATTTGCAAAAATGAAGAAACGAAACTCAACGAATTTTGTTCAAAATTTTCGCGAATTTTTATATACTTTCGATTAAATCTTTGATCTCATTTTCGCGTAAATTTTGTTCTTTTCGCAAAATTTTTTGTTCGATAAAAATCGAAATTTTTTCCATTTTGCATCAAGAAGATTGTTGGAATGTCTATATAATAGAAAAGGTAAATTAGAAAATAATTACAGGAAAACAATAATTTCCTAATATATTAATTTCAAATTTCTGTCTTCAATACAGTTCCTGAATGGTATATTTAATCATTTGGCAATGAAAAAAAAGTTTAAAGCTGCAGGGAACATTCAATTACTAAAATAAGACTCAAAAAAATTCTGACTATCGCCTTTTAGGTATCACCCTAATGGGTAATGCTTTAATAAAAGTTTTCTTTTACATGATTCTTGTTAAAAATAATAGTTTGGAAGATGATATCTGGCCTCCTAAGAAGGGTTCCACATCAAGCACAGCGACAAGGCTCATATAGTTATCTCGTTGGATTTTCTCACTACCTCTACAACATTGGTGACCCCGATGACAAACACTCAGTGATCCGGTGCTATTCCGAACTTGATATTTCTCGCATAATCATTCAGTGAACTGTCAAGGGAGTAATATTTTTCTGAACTTTTACCATGATTTTATCGAAATGAAGACAAAAGAAGCTCCTGTTCCGACGACCACGCAGCTCATCTCCAAGCTGGCCATCAAACTTCCAGATTTTTTTACTGATGACCCCGATCTTTGATTCCTTCAAGCAAAGGCAGCTTTCAGGAACTCTCAAGTCACACAATCTTGGACAAACTTCGACCATGTCATCCAGAAGTTACATCAAAATATCATGGTCTCCGTCTGCGGGTTAATTATGAATTCTGCTTCGTCGTCCTAAACCCCTTACGAAATTGGTCTCCTCCTATACTCTTTTGCACTGGCAGAGGGTTAGTAAGCTGATTCACCATCCTGCTCTGGGTGACCAGAGTCATACACCTCTGATGGATGCCATGTTGGCACTCCTACTTGAAGATGAAGCCCCTGGTAGTCTGTTTCTTGGCCTGTTTCTAGAGAGGTTGCCTGTGGAGATGAGAGATCACCTGGTGGCTACCTCACCAGCTCATGCACTAACCCGTGATGGAGGTGACAGTTCTCCAGTCCGTTGGAGCCAGACACCAGGTCCAGCAGCTTCTGGTGACCATTATTTTTAAAAGCATTTTGGTATCTCAGACAACAACTGTCAACACCCTGCAACTTCCAGGGAAACACAAGAGGCAATGGGAGGAGGATGAACTAAATGGTCTTCCTGTTGGTAGGTTCCATATTCATCTCCAAGATACCCTCAAATCGTGAGTTTCTAGTGAACACCGGAGCTTCATGTTCTGTTTTCCCTCACCATTCATCAGCTCCTCCCTCTGGTCCTCGCCTCCTGATGGCTGATGGTTGCCCAACAAAGTCCTGGGGTTCAAGGATGCTCCCTCTACAATTTGGTAATCCCCATTTAGAGTTTCCGTTCCTTCTCGCTGCTGTAGACCGTCACATCCTAGAAGCTTATTTCTTAGCTGAGTCTGACCTTTTGGTGGATTCAGCCAAACGTCAGGTCTTTCAACCCCTTGCACCTCCAGTGAGTTTAACCGTCAACACTGCCATTGCTTCTGTTTTTATACTAGCCCCAGATGTCTCCTCTCTGTTGGATGAATTTCCTGCTGCCTGGAAACCATGTCTTCCTGGTAAACTGCCAGGACAACAGGCTGAACATGTGATTAAGATGTAAGGACAACTGCTCTATGCTTGTCCCCACCATTTAGATCAAGTGAAGCTAGCCCTAGCTAAGGCAGAGTTCCAGAAGATGGAAACAGCAGGAGTTATTTGCCATTCTGACAGCCCCTGAGCCTTTCCTCTTCATATGATTCCCAAACCTGACAGTTCCTGGCAACCTTGCGGTGAAAACCGCCATTTGAACAATGTCATCAGGCCTGACTGGTACCCGCTTCCTAACATCCGTGATTTTACAAACAATTCAAAGGGATGTTCAGTGTTTTCTAAGCTAGGCCTTGTGAAAGGGTATCATCAAGTTACCATGAGTAAGGCAGACATTTGCAAAACTGCGAAAGTGACATCTTTTGGGCTGTTTGAGTTCCTTTCTTTGCTATTTGGTTTGAAAAACATGGCTCAGACTTTTCAACACCGCATGGACAGGATTCTCCAAGAGTTACCTTATGTTTTCATATAACTAGATGATGTGTTGCCAGTCAAAACAGACAACACCTCAAACATCTTCGTGTTGTCCTAGACCCCTTGGTGGAGAATGGTTTGGGTCTTAACTTGGAGAAGTGTTGTTTTGCTCAGAACAAGATCAAGTATCTGGGACACAAGATCACTCCTGCTGGTATTGTTCCCTTCTGCCATCATGTTGATGCCCTGCTCCTTCAACCTCAACCCCTGGACGTATGTGGTCTCCAGAGATTCCTAGGAATGATTAATTTCTAAAGACATTTCCTGTCCAGAATTGCTCACTGATGATCTGGCAGGAAATCCTCGAACTCTCTCCTGGTCCGAGGAATTACAACAAGCTTTCACCAAAGCCAAATCTGTGTCGGAGGTGTCTGGTCCTCCGGTTCTATGTTTTTCCGTCTCCGCCTTAGGAATTGATTTTGCAGAATTAGTTGCAGATAACATGTCCTGTCCTGATGTACTCTGCCTTCAGAAGTCTCCTACTCTCCGCCTTATAATGGTATCAGTAGAATATAATTCATTACTCTGTGACACCCAAACAAAAGTTTTCTGCCCCTTGGTTCCATCTTTTCAAAGATTTAAAGTTAAATGCTGGTTACAATCCATAGTATTTCATGGAGTATTTACAACAAATTTTTATATTTACTGTATATTTTTAATCTTTTCCTCAGTAAGTATAGAACAATTGGTAAGTATTAAGTGTTCTCTACAGAACAGTTACCAAGTATTTAGTGTTCTATACAGAATAATAGGTAAGTATATACTGTTCTCTACAAAATAAAAGGTAAATAATGTTCTCAACAGAACAATTGGTAAGAATAAGTTGTCTTCATAGTACTTGTACATATTTTTTTCCGTTAAATTATGATTTATTTATTTACCATAATAGAAAGGGTAGTCCTTTTGTCATAATTTTTTTTCCAACTTTTTAAAAGATTTTTTTCTTCAGATTTTTTTGCATATATATGAACATTTTTTAAATATTTAAATGGTTTTTAATTCATATTTTACTTTATGAAAACGTTAATAATTCAAATTTCTTACAATCTTAAAACGTTTCTTAGAAATGTTTCAGAAACGGTTCAAATGGTTAGTTTTTACGTTTCTGCAATGTTTCTAGAAAATGTTTCAGCAACGCATGCTTACCAAACAAAACGTTTCTGAAATGTTTCTAAAACCTTGTCTGGTTTGTCGGGAAGGGAAGCCAGCTCCGTCAGCTCCGCCACAGAAGCAGTTTACATTTCTGATCTTGTTCTCCCTTACCAGTTTCCGTTGGCTCCGGATCCTCAAAACCAGTTTTATGAAGACCTCATGAACTCTATGTCTGGGTTCCATCCAGTTCCAGCTCGTCATAATACTTTGTTATCTTCAAACCTTCCAGAGCATGTTCCAATTTCTCTCTCCTCCTGTCAGATAGTTTTTATATGGAAAGATAGCCATGTTTCTCCGCTGTCTCTGCTGTATGAAGGTCCATACAAGGTCCTAACTTGCTCCGGGAGAACCTTTCGTCTCCAGATTGGAAGAGTAGAGGTTGTGTCACAGCGCCTTAACCAGGATTTACTGCTGATGAGGAGACCCCTGCAGTCTCTGAGTCAGTAATTTTTAACCTCATTCCATTGATAATTGGAAGTTAAAATTTTATCAATTCTTGCCTTCAGCCTCTGCCCTCTATGTTGTGTGGGGGGGGGGTGGTGTGGAAGACAATATCTGGCCTCCAGAGAAAGGTTCCACATTAAGCAAGGCTCATATATCTAGGTTGTTATTATGTGTAAATACTGTTCATCTATTATATGGTGTTCAACTAAACAAGACGACTTAAAAATACCTGAGTATCATGTTTGATGTGAATCTTTGGTAAATGATTTTCTAAGAGTTAAATTCTATTTAAATATTTCTGCTACGACTGCTATGTGTAAGGGAAGGTCGAAAATTTTTGTATTTAATGCTGAAATTGCTTTATTTATCATGAGACCCTTTTTTTAAAGTGACATGACCGATTCACAAATTCATTCTTTGAATTGTATATGTCAAGTTCTCTGTCTCATCCCTCTCCCCCCTCTCATCAAGAAAATTTCATTGAAAGTGTGTTATAGCTAGGAATGCAGGAGCTGAAGCAGTAACATGACCCAAGCAAAGTTTAAAAACAAACCTTGCCAAACTCAGAATATAGATACAGGGCTCCAAAAAATAGTTCTGTCTCAAGGTTCCTCCTTTCTGGCCTGAATCTTCAGAGGTATGGTTCGCCCAGGCCAAGGCCCAGTTCAATGTCTCAGGAAGTGGCCTCCCAGCTGTTAGACCTAATTCGAACTCCTCCAGCCTCCGAGCCCTATGAGGTCCTCAAAGCACAGTTTGTTAAAACCTATGCCCTCAATGACTATCAGAGGTTCGAGAGTCTGGTTTCTCTACCACTCTCTGTTGATCAGAAGCCATCTCATCTTATGAACAGGATGCTCGCCCTGCTCCTGGAGGATTACAAGCCTGGGTTTATTTTGCGAGGTTTGTTCCTGCGTTGATTACCTGCAGATGTTCATGCACACCTTCTACAGGAAGATATATCCGACCCTTGTGCTCTAAGCTCAGAGCTGAAAACATTAGAATAAGATATCCTTAATCCTGATCGCTTAATCTGAATATGCAATGTACACAATTTTGATTTTATTCTTAATCCTCTTTTTTGGATATTTAAAAGTTATGTTTGATAACCCTTACAGATACAGTTCTATATCGATTGAACTAATATCCCATTGAATTAAAGTCAACTGTTCACAAGCCAGCTTTAAGAGCATTTAAGCAAATGTAAATTTAATCATGTTATTATGAACTTATTAAAAAATATATTTTATTACATTTTAGGACTATCATCATTTTAAACAAGTCTTAACAAACATTAATCCAAAACTTACATTTATTTAATCCATGTTTAGTTCAATTGATATGACACAATTAACACCAGAAAAAAACCAGTTTTTCAAAAGTTAAAGAGAACATCTTAACATGATACACTGATTGGTTGAATTTTATATTTCTTTCTTGGATATCAAATGCATATTAAAATAATCTCGGGTTTAGTAGAACCAGGTGTTTAAGCATTAAACTTTAGAATGGTGGATATTGAGATTAATACTTGATCCTCTCTTTTTTAATATCAAGACTATTTTAAACTGCAGGCTGGGCTCGAAACCAGACTTTTCTGACGACTTAAGGCGGAGCTGAGGCAGTTGTATTTGGTTTTGGACTCTAAGGGCTGAGGATAGGACGACCACAGTCCACAAGCAAGAGGTCTGGCGGGGATAATCATGGAGTCGGATATCACTGGTTTGAGTCTGTCAACAGATACTACATCAACTTTGTCACCCATCTGGAGGCAAAAGAATTTATCTTGACGTTTCAGAACTTTATAAGGACCTCTGTACAAAGGAGAGAGGGCAGGAACGGAGGCATCCTCACAAACAAACACGAAATCAGCTTGGAGGAGAGAGTTTGGCAGAGGTTTAGGAGCTGCAGAATTGAATTTTCCTCTAGAGTGAATTGGGTGGAAACTCTGGAACACTCAGAAATTCTCCAGGAACACTGAGGGCCGATCCGTAAACTGCTTCTGCTGAACAAAAACCAGTATCCTCTTTGGGAACAGTACGAAGTCCCAGGAGAACCAGAGGAAGATGTTGGAACCAGTTGGAACCAGCTGCTCAAGCTCTGAGAGCAATTTTGAAGCTTCTGTGGAACTTTTTGATCATACCATTGGCCTTGGGATGATATGAGGTTGTCTTGGATATAGCGATTCCTAGTTCTCTGCAAACTCCAGTTCAGATGGAGGATATGAACTGGCTTCCTCTATCTGAAGTCAGAGTGTCAGGAACACCGAACCTTGCAACCCAGGTTGAAATAAAGGCACTACCTCAGGCCACCTTGTACTTCTATCAATCATTGTAAGTGGATATGAGAAACCTTGACATCACATTTAACCTCGATGGTCCCGTAGGGAATGGAGATAAGCTTGAGAGAACCAGAGTTGAGAAGAGATTGCACAGAACTACATGAAGATTGAAGAGAAGCTAATTGATCAAAACTGAACCCTGGTACTGGAGTTAAGCCTGGAGCCGGAGAAACAGTCTTGACACAACCTGAGGAACTTGACGGGGTTTGAGTCCAAGCTGCTTTACACTGAGGAGGCAAACTTGTGGAACTAGTAGGTCGGGACAGAGCATCAGCAATGCAGTTTTCAGCTCCAGGTAGGTGAACTATGCTGGAGATGTAGGACAGGTGACGCTGTTGACGGGAGGATGAGGGCGGAGACGTCCTTGGAAATAGCAAAAGTTAGAGGTTTGTGGTCAGCAAAGAGTGTAAAACTTCTACCTTCAAGCATGAAGCTGAAGTAGCGAATAGCGGAGATTTCCTCTCAGCTTCCTGGAGTAGAAAGAGAGGGGAACCCAACTTCCTCACATCTGCTGCTGGAGAACTGCTCCTAAAAGAGATTCAGATGCATCCTTGGTCACTGACACGGCTGAACCAGGTGCTGGATGAACTAGAGTGGGAACGGAGGAGAGAAGATGCTTGGCTTGAAGAAAGGCAGATTCCATTGTTGAAGACCACACTAACAGTTTATCAGGACCCTTCAGAGCGTTGGTGAGAGAAGCTAGGATGAGAGCTGCGTCCTTGATGAACTTTCTGTAAAAATTTTCCATAACAAACAATCTCTGGAGAGCAGGTTTGTCTGTTGGAATTGGAAATTTCTTGATTGCAGAGGTGTGCTTGATCAAGGGCCGGCATCCAGTGCTCGTGAGGTTGTGTCCAAGGATTTCGACCTCGGAGACCGCAAAGTCACACTTAGACAGTCCAATAGTAAGGCCATGAAGACAGCAAAGCTCCAAAACCTCCCGGAGATGAACCATGTGAAAAGTGAGATCAGGACTGAAGACTAAGATATCATCCACATACACAAAACAGTAAGGCAAACCTTCCAAGAACCTGATCCATAAGCCAATGAAATGTCTGTCCAGCGTTTCTAAGCCCAAAGGAAGTCGCAAGAACTCAAATATCTCAAACGGAGTAATGATTGCAGTCTTCTTGATGTCATCCGGAGCCATTGGAACCTGATAATATCCTTTCTGAAGGTTGAGCTTGGAAAAAACCTTTGAACCTGAGACTCGAGCAGAGAAATTGGCAATGTTGGGAAGTTGATATCTATGTGGAACAGTAAGGTTGTTGAGACGACGATAATCACCACAGGGTCTCCACGAACAGTCCTTCTTCTTGACCTTGTGGAGAGGGCTGGACCACGGAGAGATTGACCTTCTGATGATACCTGCTTTCTCCATGGATTCAAATTCCTTCTAGGTAGTCTCCAACTTGTCCGGATCCAATCTCCGAGCTTTAGCAAAGACTGGAGGACCAGGTTGAGTGAGGAGATGATGACGAACTCCATGTCATGGCGGAGAGGCTGTGAACCCATCTGAGGAGAGGACATCAGGAAAATCTGATAGCAATTCTGGAATACACTCCGGGGTTGACAGAAGAGCCGCCCTCAGAAAACCTGGATCCTCTGAGGACAAAAAACTTTCTCTGACACTGTTGAGAGTAGAGGATTCGAGAACTCTGCCGCCAGCAATGTCGACTAGAAGGTGGTTGTGTCAGAGAAAATCAGCTCCAAGGATTGAAGCAGACACCGAAGCTAGATGAAACTTCCAATCATAACTTTTGGAACCAAAACGTAGAGGAATGATCCTAGTTCTGCTGCAATACATGGTTGATCCGTCCGAGTGAGTAGCTTGACATCAGAGTTGGAACTTTTATTGGAATAGTTTGAACAAGAAAATCAAAAGTGTGTCTATTGGATACTCAGATTAAGTAATCGGGATTAAGGATATTTCATTCTAAAGTTTTCAGCTCTGATTACTTAATCTGAGTATCCAATGCACACACTTTTGATTTTCTTCTTAAACTGTTCTTTCTTGGATATCGTAGAGAAAAATCAAAAACTGGTTTTTCTAAATTAGAGAGTTCCTCCCATTTCTGTATATAATCTTAAATGGCGCGCAAAATTTCAAATTTATCAGCTTCATATACGCGACTCTGATTGGTTGAATTTTATACACTTTTCAGGATACAAGTACAAGATTAGATAAGTCTCGATATTAAGAAAAAGAGAGGATCACACATTAATCTCATAATCCACCATTCTAAAGTTTTCAGCTCTGGTTACTAAATCCGAGATTATTTTAATACGCATTCGATATCCAAGAAAGAAGTATAAAATTCAACCAATCAGCGTATCATGTATGTTAAGATGTACTCTTCTACTAAACATCGATTAAATAAATGTAAGTTTTCGATTAACGTTTGTTATGACTCTTTTAAAATGATGATAGTCCTAAAATGTATATTTTCTTAAATGCTCTAAAAGCTGGCTTGTTAACAGCTGACTTTAATTCAATCGGATATTAGTTCAATCGTTTTAGCATTGTATCTGTAATTGTTAACAAACGTAACTTTTATACAGTATGGATATCCAAAACCTGTGGGTTTAAAATTCCACTTCAGGGATTAGGATATCCTTTCTGGACGTTGAAAATTTCACTGGAGGGATTCAGATATGCTTTTTGGGGGTTTAACATTTCACTGGATTTATAATTCCACTGGAGGATATCTGAAGCCCTCCAGTGGAATATAAATCACCCTGTGTAAAGTTTCAATTTATTACAAAATTTCAAACCCCTCCAGTGAAATTAAATTCCCTCTGGTAGTCTTCAGTGGAGTTAAAATTTTACTACAGTGAAACCCTTAATAACGAATACATTGGAAGAATTTATCAAATGTCGTCTTGACAATTTTTCAATGAGTTTTATACTATATTACGTAAATTTCAGTAGTGCGAAAATAAATAAATAGCCATGAATATGAATATTTCAAGAGTTCCATATAATAATTTAATTAAAAAACTAAATATCTGCAACATTCCATTATCAGAAAGTAAAGAATACAACATTTGATGAATTCTTTCGATGTATTCGTTATTAAGGGTTTCACTGTACGAACTTCTTTCAGTCTAAATTTGTTCGTTTCTAAATTATGTTTGTACAATAAACATGCAGGGTGGTTCCGTTTACTGTCGGGTTCTACCGCTTCTGTCTGACAACGCTATCACTAAGGTTCTTTTTGAACGAGGTATGGATGACATTTTTGCTCTTGGTACAGAGGAAGAAAACATTTCTTGATAAATTTTGATAAGAAACGTGCATACACGAACCAATAAATGTGTTATATATTACATTTTCTATCTGTCAGCATCTTTTTGAGAACCTGTGAAAGCCAAAAAGCTATGATTTTTAAAATTTGATTAGCTTTTGCAACACCCGAGGCATATGAAGATCAGGTCAAGCCTTGAAGTTAGTTGAGAAAATAGGAATTGATCCAATGACCGTTTTGTCTGCTTCCTAGTCCCTGGGAGACATTTCATGGCGTCAAACATTATAGAAATTCAACGTATAGAAATTCAACGTATAGAAATTCAACGTATAGAAATCCAACGTATAGAAATCCAACGTATAGAAATCCAACGTATAGAAATCCAACGTATAGAAATCCAACATATAGAAATCCAACGTATAGAAATCCAACGTATAGTAATCCAACATATAGAAATCCAACGTATAGAAATCCAACATATAGAAATCCAACATATCCAACGTATAGAAATCCAACATATAGAAATCCAACGTAGAAATCGCTAGGTATAGACTCTGTAAATCATTTAACCTGTTTTCTTTAATCTTTAAGCTTTATAGCAAGATATCTATGATAGCCTTTATTTTTATTTAAGTAACATTTAAGTGGTCGTGTATTAGAAGTGTGCTTCTCCGGTATTTTGTTCCACTAATTACTTTCCTAGACTTTATTTGTAGTTAATCACAAGGTTTTGTACACAAATTTATTCAAGAAGCAAAGAAAATTAACATTTATGAAATTAAAAGTTTTATTTAGCGTTCTTAATTACAGTCAAGGAAAGTAAAGATTTAAACAATTGTACAGGCCATAAAGGCACGACTTCCTCATATCGAGCATTGAGCAAAAAAACCTATGGCGCGCGTTAAGCTAATTCCTGATATATTTGAAAACAAATCATATTGAGCTTTGGGGGACAATAAAATGAACTTTATAGAAACTCAAAATGTTTTATCACCATAAAAATTGTATGAGGTTCTTCGGTAGTCATGGAAAGTTCGAATCAATTCAACTATCATATTTTCTGCAGTAATAATCGGAATTTGAAAAAAAGCATGCAAAACGAGTTTGAAAACACAAACAATGGAAACAAAAATTTGAGTCACATCGGTCAGTCAATTTATTATTTTTATTCGGACATTAGGATTGGAACTTAAATAGCCTATATCTTTGTTCACAAAGCCCCTGGCTTTGGAAATCTTTCTATAATTTTGATTTATTAGAAGAATAACTTGGATGTGTTTGGTAGCCAAAACTTAACATTTAAAAACATACAAATTCTTAATTTTTTTAGCATAATTGTATCATGTAAATTCCCATCCCATAGGAGCCGAAAAACACTCATTTTCGGCGTTTTCTGGCACTTTTTTGGAACAGATCAATCTGTGTTTTCATAAACTTTGGGCACACATATGAATTTTTCATTTTATCTAAAGCATTGTTTCTGATTTGAACAATTATTATCAAATAGTCATTTAACACAATTATTACCAAAATGCATCATATATGGTGAATGACCCGCTCCTATGTTGAAAGTTTTGTAGGGGGGGGGGTACACCCAAATAGACTAAGACCTTTTAACATCAAGCCGACATCAGAGCTAAGATTTTATAAGCTTAAACCTGAGTAAAACCCTGTCTTAGCGTCTATTTAAACCCAAGTAAAGATCAACCCAAGACTCGAGTTTAGGGTACACTTGGGGTTGTTAGTTAAAATCAATGGACTTGGGTTTTCAACTCTTAAAGACTCCAAAGGCTGAAGTTCGTAAATTTCGTAAATATTATTACACTTTACATTTATAATCTCCGGAATTAGCTATAATGTAAAAACTGGCTAGATTTATATAATAAATACTATACATATAATGGAAATAGTTAAAGTTTGAGTTTTCGAAATTTACATTGAGCAAAACTGAATCCATCAGCTGATCATGCTGACCATATGCAGACACAGTTTTGAATGCATCTTTCTTTGATCGAATCTGAACCAATCAGAATCCAGTCAAAAACTCGAGGTGCCACAAACGCTTGAGTTTAAGAAGGTCGGGTTTAACTTTGAAAATCTCAGCTCAGGGCATTTTATCATGACATTCGTATCCAAGTATCAAGATCAGATAAACAATCAAACCCAACATTCGTATCAAAAATATCAAATTCATAACATTCGTATTCAACCTTAACATTACTATAGAAGCAAGCTGTCAGAGCAAGCTGTCATAGAGAGAGAGAATTAAGAAAATATTATCCGGTATTCGCGCATTCTTAGGAGTTTTATCTATCCCCCCCTCCTGCTCCCTTCACCCCATGCCCAGAACTGAATCCATCAGCTGATCATGCTGACCATATGCAGACACAGTTTTGAATGCATCTTTCTTTGATCGAATCTGTACCAATCAGAATCCAGTCAAAAACTCGAGGTGCCACAAACGCTTGAGTTTAAGAAGGTCGGGTTTAACTTTGAAAATCTCAGCTCAGGGCATTTTGTACATTATGTCATTTTGACTGGTTCGTGTGGACACTTTTTACATCAGAATTCAACCATGAATAATTAATTTTCCTCCCTTGTTCTTATATAAACTAAATATTTCGTTGTTTACTTATCAGTATCTCAATTCAAAATTTTAAAAATACCGATTGTTTAACAGTTAGATAGACCACCATCAAGATTGAAAAAAAGAAAAGATTATTTTGTAATCAAAGTTATACTTAAATAATCTTCTAAACATATTTTCAACTGTATTTAAATCTGTACAGGAGAAGAAACGTCTAGAACTTATTTCCTGCTTCATCCTTGTAGCTCTCCCAGCAATTTCTTTTACTAAAGGTATCTAATACTTGATATGTATATTTTCTGTTCTGCATTGTCATTTTTACCTTCTTTTATAGATATTCTACTGCTTCAACATAACAAGTTTTATTTTGAATGTGTTGAACGTGAGGAGACTTTCTACTACGGACATGAAGTATAAAAATAATAAAACAATTTAAAAAAAGACGATTAATTATGAAATATAAATTTTCGTATTTAGCACCTGCTGACAAATCCTGACTTCGGAGCAATAATTTTCAATATTCCACTAAACCCGCTTTACAAAGGTATAATGCAATATACATGCCAAATGGCGCAATATAAAAACTTATGGCGTAAATTCGTACATCCTTGGTGGCCATGAAAATGGGCCCGTTTTGACGTTTATTAGATGCAAACAAACCAACAGAAAAGCAACATGAAAAGCTCTCATCATAGTGACCAAATTTTAATTAAAAAAGTTTTTGACTGTTTTTAATGAGATCACAAAATTTATTGTGGGAGATATTTCTCTTTTGTAACACGCCGGTCTGTGTCTTTGATAGGTATAATAACGGATTTAATTTCAATAATATATAAAATTTAAATTTAAATTACCGTACCAACTCGTAAATCGTAAAAAGAGTGTGTTTGGGATTTTTAAATTATGAATCGATCATGGCTATTTTTATTTTTATCCACAAAACTTTTATATTTCAAACTATGAATTTTGTTTCTTTTTAAAAAAATGTACTAAGCAATTAAGCTTTGAGTCCAATAACGCTCTTTAATGTAGTTTAGTTTTTTTTGTTGTTGAAATTCTCAGAAGCTACTTGTAATCTTCAAACTAATACACATCAATTAAATTATAAATCTAAATTCATTTTATTCTATATGCTAATTACTTTTTTTGTCTCAGTGTCACAAAGTTAAAAGTAAATGAAATTTTAAAAAATAAGAAAATCATAATCATTACGCCATTTTTACAGCCAACTCTTTCCTTGTGGTTTCTACATTTCTGTGTATCCCCTTGTTCTACATCTGCATCATGTTCACCAGGTTCTCCAGCGACAGGTAGAAATTATAAATTTACAGAAATTTATACTTTACGGTAATACTTTATACGAAAAATACTAAATGTAAACATAGAAGATAGAAGAATACTAGCTAAATTATCAGCGGATAGAGGATATAAACCGGGGTGGGGGGGGGGGGGGTGCTAGATTTTTAAACTACAAAAACATCTGGAAGTTATAGGAACAAATAAGATGCGCGGAGCATGCGAAAAATATTTTGGATCTAAAAAAACTGGTATAAGATGTATAGATCCAGGGGCGGATACAGGATTTAAGTGAGGGGGGGGGGGCAAGATTTTTTAGGAAAAAAAATTAATAATTAGGAACAAAAAATCGTGGCGCAGGCGAAAATTATTTTTGACTTAAAAGACTCAAAAAGAGTCAAAATCAATGACTAAAGACTAAAAAACTAGATTTTTAAATTTTAGGAACAAAATTAAAGGATTAGTACAGGAATTTAGGAACAATTAAAAGATTGTTCAGGAATTAGGAACAAAAATAAATGATTAGGACAGGAATTTAGGAACAATTAAAAGATTGTTCAGGAATTAGGAACAAAAATAAAGGATTCGGACAGGAATTAGGAACAAAAATAAAGGATTAGGACAGGAATTTATGAACAATAAAAAGATTGTTCAGGAATGAGGAGCAAAAATATAGGATTAGGACAGGGATTTAGGAACAATAAAAAGATTGTTCAGGAATTAGGAACAAAATTAAAGGATTAGGACAGGAATTTAGGAACAATAAAAAGATTGTTCAGGAATTAGGAACAAAAATAGGATTAGGACAGGGATTTAAGGTGGGTCGGACACAGTATTAGGAGCAATAATAGGAACATAAGCAATTTAAGAACAAAAAGAAATTACTATAGTTATACTTAAATGCATGAAAATTAGGAACAATATTACAATTTTGATACTTGAGTATTGATTAAGGAACATTACTAGATATGAACAATATTATAACTTAGGTCTAGTTTCTTACAAATTTCTAATTCTAAATTTATCGTTAACAATAACATTTATCAAATTGGGAACATTTTTTTCCTCGAAATCTCAAGGGGGCTACGCCCCTCCCTGAATCTGTCAGGGGGGGTGAATGTCCCCGCCCCCCCCCCTGTATCCGCCCCTGTATAGATCTGAGTTAATCTATACAAAAATTGTATACTACTGAAAATATTTTAAATCACTAATAGCCAATATTTTTTTTAATACAGGGAACGTAAAGGATGTAAACTTTAAATGCCTGTAAAGATCAAAAAGCTCGAATCTCCAGTTTTCCTAAAACTTAAATTTTAAAAAAAACCTTGCAAGCTTGAGGATGACTACAAAAAGTATCTCCTAAACCTGACCATAATAGATAGATTAATTAAAATAACAGATAGGTTAGGTTAGGTTAGGTTAGGTTACAGAAGATTTCATGATTTACGTGTTTTTCGTTCACAATAACCCTGAGACAGAAGCCCAAAGAAGTTACGCAAAGTCTGCGTAGAACAGACTCTCTCATTGTTTTGTAATTCTACAGAGAGAGAGCCTGTTCTACGCCGACTACCCGTAACTCCTTTGGGCATCTGCCTCAGGGATATTGTGAACGAAAAACACAATAATCTTAAAAAGAGGACATATAGTGTCTTATCTGTTATTTTAATTAATCTGATATTTTATTTTTAAGTACAATTTGTCTCCATGTTACTTTTTGCTGTACGATGGTTTATTAATACAAGAAGGGAAAATACAAACAAATTAAAACACTATCATATCACAAGACAGGATAGAAATAGAAATTTCACAATAACTTATTTCAGAAAGCACTTACTTTTCCTTTAATTTGAAGAAAAATAATCCTTTAGACAAAAAAATGGAGTTTATGCAAATTTTCTTCCTTTTTTTCCTTTTTTCTTTCATTTTTCGTTTCAATTCTTTTCAATTTTCATTGTTTTCTTCCAAATAGTGTGCCTTCCTGTGCGATCCCCCCTTGCCACGGGCCTGCAAAACTTTCGAAAAATAGGATAAAAAAATTCTGAAAATAAAAAGCTATTGATTTATATTATAATATTGTTCCTGTCTAACTTGCATATGCATAGTATATAATGTTCCTTACTCATTAATCAAAATTCTAATAATGCTCCTAATTTTAGATTTACATGCATATAATTTTTTTGATTGTTTCTTAGATTATGTATTTCATTTATTGTTCTTCTATGGTTCTTATGTTCTTAGTATCAAACTCCTGTTTTTTGCTTGTTTCAATCTGTCTCGATAGTCAATGTTCCTGTTATAGTTCCCATTTTATCGTTCTTTTGTTCCTCTTTTGATGATCCTAATGTAGTTCTTCCTTTTTTGTTCCTAACTCACTCAACCCAACATTTTTGTTATTGTATTTTTCTCTTTTTTAAAAAAAAAACTTTAATGTTCCTAGTTTTTCTTTTTTGACCTTGTTTCTGAAATCCGAAATTGCTCAACTTATCTGTGTTTGTTCCTTATTTTAAGTAAAACATTTCTTTCTAGCTATAATTTATTTTTTTTATTTTTGTATTTAATATCATATTTTCTTCAAATAACTTGAAAAATGGGTACAAACGATTAAATACATTAGGACAATTATTTTATGAAACTATTATGTACGTTATCATTCTTACTCACTTCAGCGTGAATTTCATAATGAACGCGCTATAAAGTAATCATAGTGCTATATGTTAAATTAGCTGTACATTATAGCACGTGTGCTATAAAGTTTTGATTGGTTCCCGGATTTTCTCCAAAAAAGTTTAGGATATTTCCAAAATATTTTTTTTCAATTGAAATGAAAATAAAATTGAAATCAACTTTATATTTTGACTTCTGCTTTGTTTCAAAGCTTATTTGATCTAGAAATAGCCATTGAAACAAGACAAGTACACAAAAGTTTCATGAAATTACGTATAACACTATTATTTTGGAACGATGTGCTATAAAGTTTTTGGACTCAAAGGTTCTCACCTTTCTAGATTATATTTTGTCCCTCGGGACAAAATTAAATTTAAAAAGGCTTAAACCTTCTGGAGAAAGAGAATATTTCTTTCCAAAAACTGTATCACACTGCGAACCAAAATAACAGTGTTATAAATTGTTATTAGCAAATTGGGAACACTTTTTGCCTCAAAATCTCATGGGGGGGAAATCCCTCTGAGTCCGTGAGGGGGGGGGGGGGGAAGGGACCCCGCCCCCTTTTAAATTCTCCTAATCTCAGACATTGAACTTTTGTCTATAAAAACATGTCCGCTGAATGGAACTGTAGACGTTATTCCGAGTGCACCTCCAATCCATGTACGGTTCATAATAAATATTACCAAGAATATCAACGTCTACCTTGATCTGGCAAAGGTTTAAAGTGAATAGACTCATAATTGGAGAAACACTTGAAATATCGTCTATAAAGACCCTTTTAAAAATGCATCTTAGGAAGGTTAGAGGATTCATCACAAACCAGGAGTTCAGGAAACGACGAAAGGCAAACCTTCTTTCTGCAGGTCTACTAAATATTTTCTTTAATTGATCAAGAGTTTAAAAATTAATGTCCAAAGTTTGTGTAGGAAGTATATTACCAATGGTAGCCACTTGGATTCGAAAAAGGGAAGCAGCCAAATAAGTATAGGACTAATTTTCGAGTAATAAAATTCAATTTGACAGGGGTACAAAGTTGTTTTCAGTGATTCATTTTTAAAACCAAATGGTATAAAAATTGATGGTTACTTAGAATACTTTCTAAATGCCTATCAGAGAGACTCTATCTTCTCGCATAAACGTCCATTATTACTTTCATAATTTAGGGACTACATGGAAAATTCCAGAAAATGGACGACTGCAGAGAGCAGATTAATTATAACAACCAAATGAGTTTGTGTAAAGTATATGATCATGCATGCATACATGTACAGTACAGTGCAGTTCCGTACAGTAAAGTACAGTAAACGCAGAGTTTATGAACGGACAAAATTAGGCCACACAATCAGGGTACTATTCAGAACTAATGCATGAGTAAAGAGACCTAAAAGAGATTACAGAGCTCACTAAACAAAGAACTAATCTAATAACAAATTAAACAAATTTTTTAGGGAATTCATGATAGAAATGACATGGTAGAAATGACATGGTATAAATGACATGGTAGAAATGACATGGTAGAAATGACATGGTAGAAATGACATGAAACCAACAAAAAATACAAAAAAAAGCAGCATTATTCAGAAGAGAAAGAAAAGTTGCACTTCCTGTGTGGAGAAAACTGCTACCAAAAATTGTTTTGAATATTAAAAAAGTATTTAATTTAGGGCCACGGAAAATATAAAAGCTAATCGGTTTACTAACCTACAATGCAAGTGGTTGTATACTCAATTTACAAGAAGTTTAAATATTTTTTTATTAGTCTAATCATACCCAACCAACTTGTAGTCGGGGGACTAAACTGTAGATAAGGTTACTCAAAATATCGTGAAAAATCCTGTAATTAAGCCTAGCTCTTTTTTATGTTTGAATTTGTCCAAATAATACCATTGACAATGATTTTTAGGTTACAATTTTACGAATTGGTTAGCAGCACTCATAGCTAGTGTTGTTGCGGTGATGTTCAGAATAAACCGAAAGACTAGCATTCTCTACATCTTTGTACAGGTCAATATTTTAAACTGATGGTTTGAAATACATCAATGTAAATTTTTACAACTGGAGTTGTAAGAGGATAAAATGATAATAATAGAATTATTCTATAAACATTAAATCTTAAAAAACCTGTTACAGTTTTAATAACCTCCTGAATCCAATAAATAAAGAATTAAAATAGTTTAATAAAATAAAAATAAAAGTTTAAACCTTGAAGTAATCTGAAATACAAGTTGATAAGGGATAAACTGCTCCTTTAAACATCTCCCTTTCCTTCCTCTAGTATTAGTTAAAAAAATTTCTAGTCATAAACAGAAAGACCCGGAATTAATTTATAATAAATCAAACGACTTTAGAATCTAATTTTACAAATATGATTCATGAAACGATAATCACTAAATAGCCAGCTGTTCCTGCCATTTTCAAAATGTGGTCTGCCTTTTATGAGCATTTAGAGATATAATTGTACAGTCGTCTGATTAACTGTCAATTAATTCCATGTCTTTCTTGTTATGGCTGCACATAAAAAGCTTTTATTTTGATAGGCTAGCAAAAATCAAGTGAAATCAATAAAACAAAAAATGTTGAATCCTGAATGGTTTTAAATGAGTTTACAGCTTGATTTTATCATGAATCCCTAGTTTGTTTCAATTTTATTTTTCTGTAGGTAAATTAATCATGATATATCATAGGCCATTTTAGTTTAAGACTAAAAACCCAGCTACGTACAATGTCTAATAAGAACAAAATTCCAAGATCAAAACATTTAAAAATGGCTACGCATTGATTAAGAAGATTATGTCTAAAAGATTTAAATTTTTAAAAATATTGTCTTCCTCAAAATAAAAAAGGGGTTTAAGGGCTTAACAGCTGTAAACATAAAACTTGTGATAGGTTTTGGGATTTGTTGGTGTGAAATACCTCAGATATTTCAAACTTTTAATTCTGTTGGTTTAAATAATCTAATTACAAAATATCAAAGGTGCGCCATCAGGTTGCAAAGATATAATGATTACACAATTTGAGTTTGCGGCAAAGACTCAATTCCTTTGAATATTTAGGGATGTATCAGTCCCGTGCTGTACTACTGGAGGTAAGCATTTCATTTTATTGACAAAAAGATGATAAAATTTGCAGTTTACATAAATATGGATAACCCATAAAGGAAGGAAAAATAGTTGTAGGGATTTTTTATTCCTAAGAAGAAACTAAGAATTAAGTTTACAACTTCTTTAATCTTAGTTGGTCTGAAAAACGAGCACGGGCACAGCAGAAGATGAAGATGTGTGTAGTTAACTGTTTGATGAAAATGAAGGCTAAATTCACATTATCATCACAAGGTTTTGAAATCCAGGGAATTGAAGTGGAGGAGGCTCAAGGTGGATTAAGTGGAATAGGTGGAAAAGGTGGACAAATATTTGAGGAAACTAAAAGAAAATCAGAAATTGAAGGGGTCGGTAGAGAACTCGTAGTTACTGGAACGGTTAGAGCTAGAAAGAAAATTCTTAATAAACATGTAACTAGAGAACCAACCGGAGCAGGAGTAATGAAAAAAAACAGAGAAGGTCCAGAAGATAACGTAAAAAGAAATGACGAGGAATTCAGCAGAAGAACAGTAGCTAAGAAAGTTATGCGCCAACCCTTAGCTGAGGTAACTGACTAAAATAAGCAGATAAGAATGATTTCTGTCCATAAGTTAAGATAGTTTTGCAGTTGTTTAGCTAGGAAGTTTTCAGAAGGAAACTCTAAATTAACAAATGGACAGGGATGGCATAAGTGTCTTTATTTGAATGTTTAGATGATCAGAAATTTGTAAATTAATGTCTGAAAAATGCAGTAATAAAGTAACCCAAAATGTAATGATGCAACTTTAAGTTGTATGAATGAGTAAATGAACTAAGCTGGTTTAAGCCGGTACGTAGAGAGTAAATTATTCTTAGTATACCTAAATTCTAATTGAAAAAAATTGTTCGTAATAAAATATAACACACTTAACTTTACTTTAAAAGTAGATTTTTTTGTTGTAAAATTCTGATAACGCGAGAAGGAAAGAATCCTGAAGATGTTTACAGTTATCACATGATGTCATGGTAATTAACCTAACTGTTAACGGATCGAAAAAAGCCACAATCGGGAGGAGTTGTCTAACTCCAAATATGATAAATTCATTTCTATTTTTTAAATCTTTGTTTAAAAAAAATTTGAAAAAAAGATCGTTATGCTATCATCATCAACCTGCCATTAATTTGGTATAGAGTCCAGCCGGGCCCTTTGAAACCATCGTGGGTAAATAATCTTACATGAGTCGTACGTTTAGCCTTAATAAAAATATACAAAATAAAAAACTGATTTAATATTTTTGAAAATTAAAGATTTTTTTACAAATCCATAAGGGCAGGTTACATTTCGATTACTGTATTAAACTAATGCATCTATTGAAAAACATCACACGAGAAAGAGAACAAACTAGAGTATAATATCAGAAAATCCATAAATTATATTGATTAATCTAGATCTCTTTTTGTTATTAAACATAAATTCTACTTAAAAACTTCAATCATAGGTGGCACTAATAAATAATGTTTTGAAATTAACGTTGCCCATTAGATTATGACTTGAAATATTCAAGAATTTATTTTTTATTTCCTAAAATCTAGAAAGGGAAACTTCGGTCAACATTTAGTTTAGTTGGCACACCAAGCGACAAAATCAAATATAACATTAAATAAAAGCTGTTGTATACTAATTATTTATCCCTTACATTAGAATCTTATAAACAATTAACAATTTAGTATTTATCACATTAATGTAAATTTATTTTTCACAAAAAACTTTTTGACTGGACGCTATAAATCGTAATGTAAATTTAATTTCGTTGCTTTCCAGTAGATCCTGAAGTTTAAGATTATCCATGATGATCTGTTTCATATTCTTTCTTGTGTCTAAAAACATGATATTCATACGTACATGTATAGAGTCTGGGAATAAATTATTATCATTGGAGTACTATTGGAGACCCCAATGAACGTCTTATTGGAGAACCCCACAGTTTCGTTGGAGACCCCCAGATTTTCATTGGAAACCCCAAGATGTTCACTGGAGACCCAGATTCTCGTTGGAGACTCCCATATTTTAATTGGAGACCCCCATATTCTTATTGGAGGCCCCCAGGTTTTCATTGGAGACCCAAGTTTTCTTTTTGAGACCCCATATTTTCGTTAGAAACCCAAATATTTACATTGGAGTCGCCCAAAATCATTATTGGAAACCTCCGGATTTTATTGAAAATCATGGGGGTCTCCAATGAAAAACTGGAGACGTCCATGGGGGTATCCAAAGAGACTTCCATGGGTGTTTCCTACGAAAATCTGGGTATCCACCAATGAAAATCTGGGTTTTCCAATGAAAATCTGGGAGTCTCCAATGAAATGAAATAATGGGGTCTCCAACAAAAATCTGGGTCTCCAATGAAATCTGTGAGACTCTTATGAAAATCTGGGTGTCTCCAATGAAAATATGGGGTCTCCAACGAAAATCTGGGGTCTCTAATGAAAATCTGGTGTCTATAATGAAAATCTGGGGTCTCTAATGAAAATCGTGGGGTCTCTAATGAAAATCCTGGGGTCTCTAATGAAAATCTGGGGTCTCTGATGAAAATCTGGGGTCTCTAATGAAAATCGTGGGGTCTCTAATGAAAATCTGGGGTCTCTAATGAAAATCTGGGGTCTCTAATACTTTCTTTATTGCTCCTCAGTTTCGAAAATAAATCTATAAGTACGCCACATTAAGCGCAAGAAAAAAATTACGAATTTAAGATCCAATTCGGCAATTATGACTGCATTTCATGATTGGCGTTAAAATATTAAAAGGTCGGGCTGCCTGTTTACTAAACATTTTTGTATTCGCCTAATCGAGTTAAATATTTACAACAAAACTAATGCATAGAAAGAACAAACAAATTAGAAACATCGGTCTCATCGCAGCCACTGCAGTGTACGTTTATAAAACTTGAGTTGGAAAAATGTTCATTAAAAATAAGTGAAGGGTTTGGTATATTTTACAATATACTGCATTTTATCATTTCTCCCGTATGAAGTGTAAAATAACTTCAGGAATGGAATTATTTGAAGAACAATATTTTACTGAGCAATATTTCTATACTGACAAGAATGGCAGAAGGACTTAACCATAGAGAAAGGAAACGAAGAGGTAAAGCTTAGCTCAGATGTATACATCTTCACGTGTTTACGTATCTAGCACTGTACACTTGTAAATAAAGTGATCGTAATTATTGAGGGTGGTTAAATTTGTAAAGATAGTTAGATAGACACTTACACAGGCGCGGATACAGGGGAAGGGTGGCAGGGCCTTCGCACCCCCTGACGGATTCAGGAGGGGCGTAGCCCTTCCCCCCGAGATTTCAGAATAGCTTCTCAATAACACTTAAGGGAAATTGTAAACATAGGATTGTATACTGCAGTACATTACAGTTCAGTTGTTTGTTTATGTTAAGACAAGAATGACAAAATAATGCATCGTGAGAAAATATCTCTCTACAGAACTCATGTACACCGCATGTACTCATGCAATGACGTAAGAACAGCATATGTTCACAACCAATTCCCATTTAATCTACAAGTTTGGAATATATTTTAGACATCTGAACATTGACAGCTGTTAAAGGGAGTGTTCGCGAAAAATGAAAGGGGGTATAGGCTTAATGCGATAAAAAAGCCCCTTTGATCGCTACTAATCTTACTTCTATCTGTTGCGTCTATAAGGAGAAAATTGTTAAAGAGGTCTCATACCGAATAACTTAGCGTCCATACAAATTCCCTTTAAGTTGAGAAATGTCTATCTTTATCTATGGTATAATACTTTATTTTAGATTGAACTGTTCTTAGTGACCTCGATGATTTAGAACTATAAAGATCAATTCCCTGTAAACTCATCTATTTAACTACTGTATAGGACAGAGAAGGATAGTAGATTCTTTTTCATTCATTTTGTAAAAAAATTAACAAAAACATTTTTTGAAGGGTTCAGATTTAGTATATATAGTACTGCACTTCAATATAAAAAATATTATATGTATCTATATAATTTCAGACACCAACCTTACAAGATATCCAGCAAGGTATTCTATGGGATCTGTAGGTCTTTCACGTGCTAAGCTTGCCAACCCCTGTCCCAGTCAAAATATTTTGATTTATAAACCAACAAGAATTGCAACACTTTTTTCATTTCATTATATAATAAAACAATTAAGAAGGTAAATCTTAATATTTCCATACATATAATTTCAATTAACAAAATGTGAAATAACAAAAATTTAAATGTTACAAAATGTACTAAAGTTCGAATATTGTCTTGATATACATATAATTCTAGGATAAAAATTCGTTGGGATGGATATATATATATATAAAGATGGGTAATCATAAAATTGCAGAAAATCTTTAGAACTAAGGGGAGTGTTGTGAATTCAATTTAAGAATTTTACTTCTAAAATTAGGTTGATAAATGAATCCCGCAAATGATTATCAAAGAAATAAGACTAACTTCAAATCAAGACATACTATAACTCTTGTTAGGTTTGTCCAGATTACTTTGTGAATGTCATGTTTCGTGGGTTGCATAGGAAATATAGCAAAATTGAATTTCCATGACTTCTTTCAAATTACTCTTAAAGGATGCCTACCAGTTTTGAATTGATTTTATTTGTATGCATGCGTATTCTTATCGATGTAAATATATTGAATATACAATATCAGGAAGTATCATCTATGCTCTTAACCAATTTCAAGGGAGTATACAGTGGGGGGGACAAGGGGGAACTACCCCCCCTAGAACTCAGAGCTATAACACATATAAATTCGGCTAGTTTTTTTGGGCAAAAAAAAACTATTGAAATAAAAGAATATAAAANAAAAGAATAAAACAGGGCCGGCACCCTAGCCCCAGCCCCCTCCCCCCGGTAGAAAGTTAAAAAAGATAGAAATTAAAGAAAGTAAAAGAATAAAACAGGGCCGGCACCCTAGCCCCAGCCCCCTCCCCCGGTAGGAAGAAAGTTTAAAAAATAAAGAACGTAAAAAGAATACTATAGTTGCTACCCCTAGCATTATGTCAACATTTTCATAAAATAAAAAACAGAATAGAAAATATAGAAAGTAAAACCATTAAACTTCTTAAATTATAAGAGAAAACTTTAATTTCTAATAAAGAGGAAAGTCTTCTAAAAATATTAGGATGCCGAAAGTTAAAGTTTGCATTGGTTAAAGTTTTTATTTATTTATTTATTATTAATAATCAAACGTTTGCTTTATAACAAATAATTAGTGGGTAGTGCAACTGAAACTATTTTAGTAATGTAAACGGTGATGCAACTGAAACTATTTTAGTAATGAAAACGGTGATGCAACTGAAACTATTTTAGTAATGTAAACGGTGATGCAATTGAAACTATTTTAGTAATGTAAACGGTGATGCAACTGAAACTATTTTAGTAATGTAAACGGTGATGCAACTGAAACTATTTTAGTAATGTAAACGAAAACGGTGATGCAACTGAAACTATTTTAGTAATGAAAACGGTGATGAACTGAAACTAATTTTGTTTATTCACCTTTCACAAACTACAGTAAACCAAATGAATGTAAGTTTGCAAGTATTAGAATTAATTAATTGTAAACTTTAGATATTCAAAAAATAAATGAAAAGAAATCAGGAAATAAAATTTCTTTTTTACCTGAAGGAGAATGGGTACAACTGTCTGATCTAGATACTGTCTGGTTGGGAGCCCAGCAACATCAGATCTTACACATTTATTTTTTAAAGGATCTACTCAACCATCACAAACATTTCCCTCTCAATGGGTTTATATATACATATATGGGTTTATATGTAAATTCAGAAAAACGACTAAAACCGTAAATTTTTAAAAGTAGGATATTGATCTGATGAAAGCTAGTGATAGAGAACTTTGTTCTAATAACATTCCTTTGAACTAAAAATTGAGTTGACGAAAATTACAAGAGGAAATTGAATTTCAAAAACAATTATATTTTGACATTAAATTTAAAGTTTTCATTTCTATTTTTGTTAGGATTAAAAAAAATAGAATTTGAAAAAAAATATTCTTTACAATGAAAGAGATAGGGAAAGAATAAAGAGAAAAGTTCAGTTAGAATATTGAGAAGAATAATGGTTTAATTATAGAAGAGAATAATAAATAATGAGAAAAACTGTAAAATATATGGTTTAAGATAAAATTATGGAAAGAGAGGGTTAAACCTGAAGAATTTGTTTAAATCAACAATAAATCTAACATAATATTTTATCTTAATTTCACATTAATTTGTTTATCCATAGTTCTTTTGCATCGATCCTTAATATTGTTTTATGGGGATTTGTCAGCTGTGGCTGTCGTTTTAAAGGAATCTTGAAAATATTCCAAAACTGCATGGCTAAGCAGAGCAAACGTGAGAACATTTAAAACTGTTAAATAATTTTATTCCTCAAAATAAAACGTCTTCAGAAAATCTAAAAAATTCACCTCTTCCTTTTAGACACTGATTGTTCCCCGTCTTTATTTGATCTTTTCCCTGATTCGCCTTCACTAATGTTCTCCAGGTTAGATAAACCAGAACTTTCTGATGTTTGGGACATCTTTCAGTCCGACACGAAATTCAGTTCGATTGGAAATTTGTTTCTGAAAAAAATAAAGTTTGTATTCTATTCCTGACAAATAAATTAAATCCCAGGATCTTCAAGGTGAATAAAAAAAGTTTATTACTGCCGTTTTCTTCAAAGCATTTTTTTACCATGTCTTTATCATTTATAGTATTTTTCCCGTCTGTTTTTTATATATTTTTTCATTCCTTTTAAACTCGCATGGACCAATAGAAAATATTTTTTATTAAAATGAAACGAGCAGAAAAGCAAAATGTTAAAATAGATAATTTCTTTCAAATCCAAAAATTTCATGAAGACTTGGTGAACTTGGTTGAGCAATTCAGAGATATTTTTAAAATTTAATAAGCAATTCATTGTTTATTTGCAGGCATTAAAATAACAAAGTTAAAAATTGATAATTTATAATTTTTTTGAGAGACATTGCACTGTTCTAAATCTATTATTATTATATTATTATCATTATACACTTGAAAAAGTTTTTGTTAGGCATGGATCAATAATAAATTATCAATATACAATATAATAAACTTCTAGTGCTGGATGGTAATTATATAAGCAGAGATTTCCACGTAATTAATAGATTTTTTTATGAAATTTTGTTGCATTTGCAATTCTAGTTTTGCGCCGAATTGCGCATCGTTTGCTCTTGCTTCCGAAAAATTCATTTTCGCCATCATTAATGCAAGCAAGTTTGCACATTTTTGCTGCAAAAGTTGGCTTCCGCTGGACACCCTATAATAAACCTATTTCTTAATGTCTTTCTTGTAAATAAGATATTGTTCATTTATCCGGCGTTCTATTTCCGCATTTATATCTAGGTCATTTTATACAATATACATATTAATCTAGCTGGAGTTTTCCTACATGTCAAGGCAACGGAGAAAATAGTTTTTTTCCCTTCATCTTTAAAACAATGCCCATCCCTATATACAAGACTTTTAATCAAGTACAATAGGTGGCAACAGAGAAATGAACAAATTATACATAACGTCACAAGTGTCAAATATAACAAAGAAAACGTAATTGTCTCACATTGGTTGACATGTTTTCTAAGATTAAATAAAAACAGAAACTAAAAAAAAACATAAAATTGCACTTATTTTACTGTAAGAAAAGCACTTTATTCTAAAATTATCACTATTATTGATAATTTTGTCGGACACAAAACTGAATGACACTTGTGACGACAGAATACAACTGTACTGAGAGTGTACAAATTCTACGTTGCCATCTATTGTACTTAACAATCTATTTGCTTTTACCAGACCAAAAATTAATTCAAATTTTTAAACAACAAAATTTAAATGCAATCTTTTTATACACTTAGTGACGTACTTAATGCATTTATATATATAATAAAGAATTTATAAAGACCCAATTCACGTGCTCAGTTCAATACAACCATGAAAAATAACTAGGATGATTAAAAGTCAGATCATTTTAAACGGGAATAACCTAACCTGCAATCAAGCAAGCGACCGCCCCTAGCTCGTTAAAAAATGGCGCGATGGGGGTCAAGCTCATGTTTATACTATTACCACACCTGATTTTAATCTTTGTGTATAAATCCCAGAGGGAGGGATGCTCAATTATGGGGCAAGGTGACTATTGCCCTCCCCCCTTACAACTGATCATAACTCTCTGAGTCACGTCACTACCCGGTAAATTTAACTATCAAATGTAGTTTTTTTAAATTTTCTATCTATACTTTTCAATTTTGTTTTAAATAGTTCACACACTATATAGAATGATGTCTTTTAAATAACACACTGACATAATTATAAACTCAAATTCATACCAAAAGACATATTTATTGTCTTTATTCAGGACAACCCTTATATTAACATAAAGCATGATTTTCTATGACTGAAACATTAAAAAAAATGAGTTTTACTAATCCTTATATCTTAATGCCGCCGACGTCTGATGGCGTTAAACTTTGATATTCCAAACAATTAAAGCTTATTAATGAGCTAACTTAATTCTTATAGTTTGATATGTCAAAGGTCTACTGCAAAGATTACCTGAGATTGAAACAACTACGTTTCCAGTTCAATGTTTCCAGTCTACCAATGTTTCGTCTGCTGTGAATACTGAAAAAGGTAGTAGATATTATTACACTAGGTTAGAGCGACTGACTACAGTCAGCTGAGACTCAATACAGAGGGCAGGGTGGCAGATCCAAAGAGTATATAATAACACTAACAGGGTTCGGAATAAAAATCCTAC